TATTTTTTCTTTTTTTAAATTTATTTTATTTTTGGCTGCATTGGGTCTTCGTTGCTGCACGCAGGCTTTCTCTAGTTGCGGCGAGCGGGGGCTACTCTTCGTTGCGGTGCACAGGCTTCTCATTGCGGTGGCTTCTCTTGTGGACCACGGGCTCTAGGAGCGCAGGCTTCAGTAGTTGTGGCACGCGGGCTCAGTAGTTGTGGCGCACAGGCTTAGTTGCTCCTCAACATGTGGGATCTTCCCGGGCCAGGGCTCGAACCTGTGTCCCCTGCGTTGGCAGGCGGATTCTTAACCACTGTGCCACCAGGGAAGTCCAAGTATCCTGTTTTTTAGATGCTGAATTAAAAGTTCATCCTGTTTGATGTGCTTATAAAATATATTTACATACAGCATGTGTTCATATAGTTACATAGTCATAGATTTATTGGTATGTGCACGTGGATATATATGTATGTGTATTTATGTGTTTAGAAGGTGTATGTTAAAAGCTATTACAGCTAAAATACCAACTCAGGAAAATAGTAACATAAGTCAGATGACCACAGTTACCTAATTACAAATTAGTTTATTTTTTTTAAATATTGGCTTACCAAAATTTTTGCATCTACATCATTTTTGTTAGCCTTTTTCATGCTTATTTATTCCATCTCAGCAGTACTACTGAAAATAATAAATATACTGCACGAAACTTGCTTTTTTGAACACGTTTTAGAAAATTACGTGTAAATTGAATCTCATCTGCCTTCCAACTTCTGTTTCTTTTTCTGAAGTCTGTTGTGGGCTTTCCGTTGGCAGGAACTCCTAAGACTTCTGTTTTCATTTACTCTCAATGAAGAAATAAAACGGGAGAAGATCACTTTAATTTTTCTTAAGTCAAAGGATACTATCTTTGGTGAGAATGACTGCCTCCCCCCCATGAGCTCATTTATGTCTTAATTCTAATTTTAGGGATATCGTTAAGTATGTCTGTTCAGAACTGTGGTTGCAAAGTGATTCTGATTAATGTTCTTATCAGTTGCACAAACCAGACTGCCTAAAGGGGCCAGGCTGGGCTTTTTACCGCGAGAAGCCGCTTGGCGGTAAGTACTTGGACAGGGTAGCGCGTGCGTGCAGGTGACAGTGACACAGGGACACAGCCACGCGGTTGCCAGGCAGCCAACAACCCCTTCGCTGTCCTGTCTTCCTATGTTTCAAGAAAAGATATGTTGATTTTTATGTTAAATCTTACTGCTTTTCAACATGAGCTCAGTTTTTCAAAAACATGGTTCCAAAAACCATGGGGGTCAAACACAGCGTGTGGGGACCAGCTGTGCTTGTGGCCTACGGTGGGTCCCCTCTGGCCTACAGACTTCTTATTTCTTTGTTGCATGTTGGACAGGCAGAATATGGCTTGAAATTGCGTCTTCAACAGCTTTCACCGCTTTTTCACTTCGCATTTGCGGATTTGGATTCTTTGTCCTAAACTGTTACACTGGGAATTCCCTGGAGGTCCAGTGGTTAGGACTCTGCGCCCTCACTGCTGAGGGCCCAGGTTCAATACCTGGTCGGGGAACTAAGATCCCGCAAGCCGCATGGTGTGGCAAAAAACAAAAAGCACACAACAGCAACAACAAAATAAAAATAAATAAAGTGTTACACTAACTCCTAGATTACAAGCTTCTTGAGGGCGTAAAACTCTCGACTGTGCCTTTTTCTGACAGAAGTTCCTTTTCCTCAGCTTTGTCTATATCTGCAAGGTTTTGCTGGGCTCACACCCGTTCCCAAGCCCCTCTCCCCCGACTCCTGAAACCTTCTCCCAGCGCTCTTGATCCTTCACCTTCCCTGGGAATCTTTGTTTTACGGCTTGTCATGAGCACATCGTATTTTCCCTGCTATACCACAAACCTTTGGGGGCAGTAGTTTTGTTCCTCTAGCGGCCCTGGCTTTTAGTGTCAGCCCCCAGGCCTGCTTCTGGCTGGTTGATAAAAAACCACCTGAAGAGCCTCTGAGACAATGTGGGAAGGAGGCTTGTCAGTGTTTACTCGGTGTGCCTTTCCAATTTGTTATCATATGAATGTATTACTTATTCATGAAATGAGGTACAAAAGTACATATGGATTCCAGGGTCTCACCCCAGCTGTTCCAAACCAGAATCTCTGCAGGGGCGGAGTAGGGGGAATCTGTAAACCTGTACTATTTTAAAGCTTCCCAGCTGATTTTGATGCCTAGCCAGGTTTGGGAACTACTGTCCCAAAGCATGAAGTAGGTATTCAGTAAACATCTGTTCAACGGAGAAATGAACTCTTATCTTCCTGTAGCACTTAGCCTGATGCCTTGTCCTTAGCAGTTGCTCAGTAAATATTGGTCGAGAGAATTAAAGTAAATTTTGAGTTCAGATACTAACTCCCCCGGCCTCACTTTCATAGGTGTGGGTGGAGCCATCACTCCTTCCCAGGTTCCCACTCTGTCTGGGGTGGATGGATTAATTCTTATGTGGACCACTAGGATGGCCTCGCTAGCTGGTTTGCAACCAGCTGGCCTCCCTCTGATCCTTTCCACACACTGCAGCCTAAGTGATCCTGAGTGATTTTTTTTTTTAACTCAAATCTGATGATAACTTTTAATGATAACTAGTACTGGCAATATAAAACTTGCTGTGGGGAGTCCTCTAGAGCCCATTATGGTCTGGTCTGACCCTTCCAAACAGGAGAAGGTACGAGTCAGGAGAGAAAGTAGATCCTACAGGGGCCCAGAACAGAGAGACCTCAAGGAAGGCCAAACAAGCACCAGCCAAGTATGTTATTGATCTGTAAGCCAGTGAAGGATAGACTCCTGCTATCCATTCAGGGGTTAACCTTTCTCCCTTCAGGGCACAGAGGAAGCCATAAAGATCCCCTTTTTTTTAAAGTTTATATTCTTTATTTTTTTGGCTGCATTGGGTCTTAGTTGTGGTATGCGAGATCTTCATTGCGGCACTCGGGCTTCTCTCTAGTTGCGGAGCACGGGCTTCTCTCAAGTTGTGGCATGCGGGTTTTCTCTTCTCTAGTTATGGCACGCAGGCTTCAGGGTGGGTGGGCTCTGTAGTTGTGGCGCGTGGACCCCAGAGCGCGGGGGCTCTGTACTCTTAATTGAGACGTGTGAGCTCAGTAGTAGTGGCGCTCGGGCTTAGTTGCCCCGTGGCATGTGGGATCTTAGTTCCCCGACCAGGGATCGAACCCAAGTCCCCTAAATTGGGAGTTGGACTCTTTGCCCCTGGACCACCGGGGAAGTCCCAAAGATCCCTTTTCATTGAATTTTATTTAAAGATTTAATCCCCCACATCCCTAGAAAAGATTCATGGAAGGTTCCACTTAAAGGCAGGGAAAACAAGAGTAAAAGAGCTATCACTAAATCAAGAAAGTGAGACAGTAGTCGCACCAGAAACCCAGGCTCACAGTGGCTACAACAGTCTATGGTAAACATTAGTTCTAAGCATCCTCGTCTCGAGAATTAAGAGAGAATAAACGTGGTGAGTACATTGTTCTTATTATCTGAATAATGAAGAATTTGTTAGTAGAAATGCTCTTTTTCCAATGGCTGAATGAGATAAAAAGAAGTTATCGAATGGATTCTTGTATAAAGGACTGTCTAAATAACATAATGGGCAGAGCTTATAATCCTTACAGAAAGGTCAAAAGAGATCCTTTATGTGGCCATCTGGTCTTTTCCAACTGAATAAATGCCGTGGGCTAAACATTATACTCCAGTGCTAGGGATGCATTGCCACTGGGAGTTAAAGAAACAGCAGCAAGATATATGACTTTCTGGACATCATGTGATTAGAGATAGACTTGATGAATAGCTGGGTAGTATATCCTTTAGACCAAAGGGGGTATTTTGGGGGGGTGGGGTACAGATTAAGTGCAGGAGTGATCCATTAGTGTGTAATGGAATTAGTTTGGTGAGTTGCTGTTAGCATTTTTTAAGTGAAAGAGAACAGGACAGAACAGACTGCATCACACATAGGAAGGGTAAGTTTTAGTTTCATTTCTGTCTTAAGTCACTGTGTACCATGTATTTTTTACTGCGGGTAACTATGAAAGCCACTGCTTTGGATTGTCCCTCACTAGAATATTAGTGGGTAGGCTCTGGCCATTCTAGGCTCCTTATAGAACATAGAGGATAACAAGACCCGAGCTCTGGGAACAACGGAGGTAGCATCCTCAGACCAGAACAAGAGCCATAGTGCCTTTAAATTGTGCTAATTTAGGAACCTGTGACTAGACACTGTATTGTAAACTCAGAAATACACTTTCCTTGTTTTGTTTTGTCTCCCTTTTGATTGAACACCCCGGTCTACTTTGGCTGTGATAAAAGCGAAATCAGAAGGAACGGGATGGGTCCCCACAAGGAAGGGCCAGTGGGCAGGGTGCCCCTAGTGGTCAGACTTGGTCATGCAGACTGAGACTTTACACTGAGAAACCCTTTGGAGCCACAAATCAGGAATGGCTCCTCCGGTTCTTGCTTCTTTCCCGAGCAGCCAGTGCCTTTACTCACAGGTACTGCTTACTTAGAGGAAACTTTTAAAAAATCATTTTCCTGCTTCATGAATTACGTTTGGATCAGATCATCAGGGCGCTCTTCTGAAATAGATAAGGAGCCTTGTGGTAGGACCATGGCATTGCCCGACTCTAAGAGTTCAGTGCAGCAGCCCTGCGTGATGATGAGACCTTTAACATTTGGCGGGGGAACCTTTCTCCAAGCTACAACTTTGCAGAAAGAAGGAGAAAAAGTTCTGGGAGGATTTCCAACTATAACAACTATTAGCAGTGGTATGAGGAACAGGCTGGGGCAAGATAAAGATTAAATTTCTAAGGTTGACTCCAAGTCTTGGGAGCAGCAACAGAATGAGATTTAAAACAAAACAAAACAAAACAATTATTTTCATACAAAAAACGTTTTTCAAAGAAATTGAAAACAGCCTACAAATAAAGGAGCTCCTCGTGGAAGGGTCTCTGACCATTTCTCTCCTCTTGTTTCAGATGACAGTCATGTCCCTTTCCAGGGACCTCAAGGACGACTTTCACAGCGACACAGTGCTCTCAATCTTGAATGAGCAGCGCATTCGGGGCATTTTATGTGATGTCACTATCATTGTGGAGGACACCAAATTTAAAGCTCACAGCAACGTCCTGGCTGCTTCAAGCCTTTATTTCAAAAATATCTTTTGGAGTCATACTATCTGTATTTCCAGCCACGTCCTGGAGCTGGATGATCTCAAAGCCGAAGTGTTTACAGAAATCCTTAATTATATCTACAGCTCCACGGTTGTCGTCAAGAGACAAGAAACAGTCACTGATCTTGCAGCTGCAGGAAAAAAGCTGGGAATATCCTTCTTGGAAGATCTTACCGATCGCAACTTTTCAAATTCCCCAGGTCCTTATGTATTCTGCATTACCGAAAAGGGAGTGGTCAAAGAAGAAAAAAATGAAAAAAGGCATGAAGAACCAGCCATCACTAACGGGCCAAGGATCACAAATGCATTTTCCATCATCGAAACGGAAAATAGTAATAACATGTTTTCTCCACTGGACTTGAGGGCAAGTTTCAAAAAGGTCTCCGACTCCATGAGAACCACCAGCCTTTGCCTGGAGAGGACTGACGTCTGCCACGAGGTGGAGCCCGTGCACACCCTCGCCGAGCACTCCTACGCCGTGTCTTCCGTGGCTGAGGCTTACAGAAGTCTGCCTGCACGGGAACGGGAGAGCAGTTCACCTGGGAAAACAGGTAAAGAAAACTGCGAAGCTGTTGCAGCAAAACCGAAAACATGCCGAAAGCCAAAGACACTCTCCGTACCCCAGGATTCCGATTCACCTCCAGAAAATATACCCCCCCCTCCAGCAACCAACTTGGAAATGAATCAAGAAGAAAGTCCACAGCCAGCTGCAATTCTTTCCCTTTCAAAATCTCCCAACCATAACGAAGGAGAGGTCCATTTTCCCAGGGCAGAGGAAAATAAATCCTCTGATGTCCCCACACTGCCGGCCACAGAGGTGCCGCCTCTCATTTACAATTGTAGCTGTTGTTCCAAATCTTTCGACAGTAGCACTTTGCTCAGCGCCCACATGCAGCTTCACAAGCCAACCCAGGAGCCCTTGGTGTGCAAGCACTGCAACAAACAGTTCAGCACCCTCAACAGACTGGATCGGCACGAGCAGATCTGTATGAGGTCAAGCCACATGCCCGTTCCTGGAGGGAATCAGCGCTTCTTAGAAAACTATCCCACCATTGGGCAGAATGGAGGTGCATTCACAGGTCCAGAACCTTTATTATCTGAGAATAGGATTGGTGAATTTTCCAGTCCCGGAAGTACCTTGCCAGAAACAGAACACATGGTTAAATTTGTTAACGGGCAAATGCTCTACAGCTGCGTAGTATGCAAGCGTAGTTATGTGACTTTATCCAGCCTCCGAAGACACGCCAATGTTCACTCGTGGAGAAGAACGTATCCTTGCCATTACTGCAACAAAGTATTTGCATTGGCTGAGTATAGGACAAGACATGAGATTTGGCACACAGGAGAAAGGCGGTATCAGTGCATTTTCTGCCTGGAAACGTTCATGACCTACTATATACTCAAAAACCACCAGAAGTCTTTCCATGCCATCGACCATAGACTTTCCATCAGTAAAAAAACAGCAAACGGGGGCTTGAAGCCTAGTGTCTATCCATATAAGCTTTATAGACTCCTGCCCATGAAATGCAAGAGGGCTCCTTACAAGAGCTACCGACATTCTTCCTATGAAAATACTCGAGAAAACAGTCAGATGAACGAGTCTGCACCTGGTCCCTATGTTATTCAGAATCCACACGGCTCAGAATTGCCTACTCTGAATTTCCAAAACAGTGTAAACACCTTGACCAACAGTCCAGCCATCCCACTGGAGACACCAGCACGTCAGGATGTACCCACTTCCACCAGTGCACAAAACGCAGAGGGTACCAGATGGGGAGAGAGGGGAGAGTTGAAAGTTGATCTGGACAGTAACTTTTATTCAACAGAGGTGTCAGTTTCTTCTGCCGAAAATGCCGTCAGTTCGGGCCTCCGGTCAGGGGACGCGCCTGTTTTGTCTGTGAGTAACGGCAGTGAGAACTCCACCTCTGTGATCAGCTACAGTGGCTCAGCCCCCTCGGTCATCGTGCACAGCAGCCAGTTTTCATCGGTGATAATGCACAGCAATGCCGTTGCTGCCTCAAGCAGCCACAACCCCACAGCCCCTTCAGACCTGGCTGGCAGTCAGAGCCCGAAAGACGATGGCAAACCCGAGCCAGACAAAGTGGGGAGGGTTGTCAGCAGACCCAAGAGCATGAAGGAGAAAAAGAAAACCATCCTGTGTAACAGGGGAGAAGTACCAGAGGAGTCCAGATACGTTGCTGATCCTGGAGGGTCATTGAGCAAAACCACAAATATCATTAAAGAAACTAGTAAAATTGAAACTTACATCGCAAAGCCTGCTCTCCCGGGAACCTCCACAAACAGCAACGTGGCGCCCCTTTGCCAGATAACGGTGAAAATCGGGAACGAAGCCATTGTGAAAAGGCACATCCTAGGATCTAAATTGTTCTATAAAAGAGGGAGGAGGCCCAAGTACCAAATGCAGGAGGAGACTCCGCCACGAGAGAGTGAACAGGAAACCAACAGAGACAGCCCGATCGGGCTCTGCCAGTCCGAGTGCGTGGAGATGAGTGAGATGTTTGACGATGCCAGTGACCAGGATTCCACGGATAAACCGTGGCGCCCTTACTACAACTACAAACCCAAAAAGAAATCCAGACAGTTGAGAAAAATGAGGAAAGCCAACTGGAGGAAGGAGCATGAAAACAGGAGCCCGAGCAGCAAATGTAAATACCCGGCCGAACTGGACTGCGCAGTGGGGAAGGCTCCCCAGGAGAAGGCCTTCGAGGAAGAAGAAAATAAAGAGATGCCCAAGTTGCAGTGTGAACTCTGTGACGGAGACAAGGCCTCGGGGGCCGGGAATCAAGGGAGGCCCCACCGGCATCTCACGGCCAGGCCTTATGCGTGTGAGCTCTGCTCCAAGCAGTTCCAGAGCCCCTCCACCCTGAAGATGCACATGAGGTGTCACACGGGAGAGAAGCCGTACCAGTGCAAGACCTGCGGACGGTGCTTCTCGGTGCAAGGCAACCTACAGAAACACGAGCGCATCCACCTGGGCGTGAAGGAGTTCGTCTGTCAGTATTGCAACAAGGCCTTCACGTTGAATGAGACCCTCAAAATCCACGAAAGAATCCACACTGGCGAAAAGCGATACCACTGTCAGTTCTGCTTTCAGAGTTTTTTGTATCTCTCCACGAAAAGGAATCACGAGCAGAGGCATATCCGAGAGCATAATGGGAAGGGCTATGCCTGCTTCCAGTGCCCCAAAATTTGCAAAACAGCTGCTGCCCTTGGAATGCACCAGAAGAAACACTTATTCAAAAGCCCAAGTCAGCGGGAGAAAACAGAAGGTGACACGGGCCACGAGAACTCAAATCCCCTGGAGAATCCACGTTTCATTGATTCGGAAGACAGTGACCAAAAGGATAATGGACAAACCGTTGTTGATAATGTCCTTTGAATGGTGATACTTAGAAAAATCTTCGAAACTATAAGTTGGTGGGTTTGGGTTTTTCGTTTTTCTTTTGTTTCTTTTTTTTTAAGTTAGCCGTTTTCTTTTGTTTCTGTTTAATTTTGTTCACATAACAGTCATGAAGGAGTGAAATGTAACAAAGAAAATCTCATTTGTGAAAATTCCAGGAAAAGGATCCTAATCTCTACTTTGGGTTTTAGCATTAACTTCATGCAAAGTACACAAAAACAAAGTAGCTGAATCTTCCAATATCCCAAGTGACCTGTGAAAGTTTATGAAGTTCTCAGCTATGATATTTCTGCCAGTCGGGGGAAAGAAAAGAGTTTAATTTTAGCGTAATTTAAAACTTTCTAATAAGTGCTAATAGGAACTGGCTGCTGAACTGTCTTTAGTCACTGGAGAAAATAAGGGTCAGATGTCATGAAAATGTCATCTTCATAAATAAGTTCAAAGGTAAATGAGCTATGACAGTCATTATTCCCGACCAGCTTCTATTAAAATTGTTTAAATTAATGGATACATACGAAATAATATAGTTGAAAATATGTGTGAAATGAGTAACCCGAGTAGGACATTCATACATTATCTAGAAGTACTTTTCTGCAACACAAACCTTGTAAAATACGTATATAAATCACTCTAACTTTTAACTGTCCATGTCCCCTGTAGTGAATTATAATGATGAGCAATAGATCTGCAAATAATGAGGACTGATGTAAAAATCAGTAGAAAGCATTTTGAATATTACTTAAGAGCATGTGTATGCTTTTAGATGGAATGCTGTTCTCTTGAAGTTATGGCTGAGCTGTTATTAGAACTGGTCTACTCAAGTCACAGAAAACATAGGTCATGCCTTATCCATGGGGGAGAGCCTTCCCAGAAGTTACCTGTGGTTACCTGTGCTGTGCTGTATATTACTTTTTAGTGGCCTCACTTCAGAAAATGAAGAAAGGTCAGATTCTTCTGAAACTCCCTGCAGTCTTCCATCCATCACAAGGCCATGGACATGGAGGTCTTTCCAGATAGATTTAACCAGTCTCAAGGGTTCGAGTAAAACCTGACGCCTTCCATGCCACTGAAGGAGTGTCCAGGAAATTTAGCGCAAAGCATGTATACGGTGGTGAATCCCCAGGCACTTGAAAGTGACAGAAAGCCCAATCCCTACAATTGTTAGCCGCCTTGGAGATTATGCAGCCCACAAACACATACTATTTAAAAAAAAAAAAAAAAAAGGACAAGAGAAACACACACCCCCGCCCCACCCATTAATGACTTGAGGGGGCAGGGGGAGTGATGACCTTCTTTGCCTCGAACAGAGCTTTGTCTTTGGGGGGTGGGGAGATAGAATGTGGAGTGACAAGGTTCCATCACTTACTGATATGACTCAGAAATACATCCACAAACCAGATGCCTTGTCTTAATGTTTGCAGACATCTAGCCCGCTTGCTAAAAACCACTTCCGTTTTTAGTGTTCTTTTATGCTGACCCACACCATCAACACTGCCCTCAAAATCTAACTGCCCTATAGGATATTCCGTTATGTGGACTAGGTTCCTGGGAGGCTGGAAGTCATGATTCTTACTTTTTAAACTGCCAGAATAGGAGAGAGAAAGCATTCTTACCCTTTGATGACCAGTATGAGCAGAATCTGGAACCCAGTTCAAGGATGACCTGCAGCCATTCATGTTCATGGGATGTGATAGCTGGAAACCCAAGATTACCCAAGGTTGCAAGGTTACCATTGTGAAGAATTAACTCAAAGGACTCCAGATTCTCTCTTCAAGCATTGTGATACCTCCGTGAAGACTTAATAAGGATTGGGGTGGGCAAGAAAGCATTTAAGCACCCAGAAAAGGACATGATCAAAGCTGACCTTTTTATACTGTAGTACTTTGCTGTTAAATAACCCCCAATGTTGTATTTGCATTTATCTTCTGTTCATCTGCTTTCACTTACAAACAGTATTATGTAATAGAGGAAAATGGAAAAATGCAAACGAGTTCAACTTTATTTTATACATTGTATATATGTATACCTGCACTGTTCATTTGGGTTTTGTTAAAAAGATAGTTGCAGAGGGCCTCTGAAATTTTGAATTGATGATTAGAAAATTGAGTAAGCAATCCTGTGATCTACTAATTTGTTTTATCTCAATTAGGCTTATGAGTCAAGGAGAATTACTGTGTGTTTCAGTCACTCTGATTTGAGGTAACTCCAAATGTAAAATGATTACGTGTACTGATGTCTCCCAGCCCTTCCATGTGGATATTTTTTAAGTGGACTTGTATGCTGATAATTCTAGACCAAAGTAAATACGGCAGAATATTTATACATGAAAAAATAATTTTGCAAATATTTTCTATAATTGTATTATTCGTTTAAAATGTTGATAGCTTGTGTTAGTTTCAGGGAGGGGTGTATATTTTGATAAAAAAATACTTGACTTTGTAATTCTGTATATTCTATACAATTTCTAGCAGAGCCGTTTTAAGACAGCCTTGTCGCATTTTTTGTTAATTGTGAAAATTTTATTCTAAGTGATGTTTATGCATTGAGTACATAACGACCAACTAGAATTAAAGTAAGTGTGAACAGTGAACATACTGTATGCTGTACAAGATATATTGTAATTTGCTGTTTTAGCATCTGTATTTTGGTTAGAAGATATTATTAAATACAGATGTTAAGGGTTGGAAAAGTCTAATTTTATTTTTAGAACTAATGGATATAAATTTGTTTTTGCTTGATTAAAATAGCTTATTCCTATGTTGTCTCTTTTTAAACGTTTTAGTGTTATTTTGTGCAGCCAAGCAGCTATTTCATCTGTGTGAGTCACAGCATTGTTTCACATATGAGTCATTCAATATATTTCTGTTTCCTTTCTTGTTTACATTCCATGGTACCTGCTTACATGCTTAGGACTCAAATGGAATATGACATTAAAAAAAAGCAGAATAAAAGAGACTGAACTCTTGTTATCATTTAGTGCTTTGGATAGGCCTGATCTTATGATAAATCAGAGTGTTGGAAGTATTCTGCTCTGGACATCCACAGAAAACAAATTACACTCATTAACTACCAGGTATTCGGCAACGTTCTTTCCATGGGCTGTTTCATTCAGTCCTTTCCCGACAGCCTTAGGAAGTAGACCTCATTATCTGCATTTTATAGTGACATTGAGCAGACCCCACAGCCAGACAGTGCCAGGATCGCAACCCAGGGCTGCCTGACTCCAGAGCCCACGTTTTTGTTCCTTCTCAGCATCTTAGAGGGAAATGCTTAATGTAAACTCAACGGAGAGTGAGGAAAAGAGCTTGTGATGGTAGTTGTCACAAAGCTGTAAAGAGGCTCAGCCTCCCTGGACTCAACTCTCATTTGCTCGCTGAGGCCTCAGTACTTCGGGCATTTGGTTTCTCTTATATTTGAGGATATTGCCCTGTGAACTCAGTTTGTAAGAGTTTGTCCACTTTTTTTTTTTTTTGAATACAGGGTGAAATTATAATGCTATTATAAACTAGTCATTTTTCACATAAAGAAAACAATCTGTCCCGTCATCACTTGCAACCTTAGCTAATTATCTGTAAATACAGGCAGTCACAATGGGTGATGTGACAGGAGGGCCAGTGGCTCAGGCAGCACAACCCATCAGCAGCACAGGGAAAATAACTCAAATTTCTAGCCCTAATGGCTGGCCCAAAGCATCAATTTTGTATTTGAAGAGCAGCCCAAACAATTCTCCAAGCAATTCTCTTAACTACTCTCTGCTAAAAGGAACTTAATTATCTATCAAAACAACAGAATTAATATTGAAAGAATGCGTAACAGTTGGGAAACAACTGGATTAAAAGCATAAAAACATCACGCAAAGCGGTCCTATTTGTACATATTCTTTTAATGACTTCAGTCAGGTCTTTTCGTTCCTATCGCTCACCTTCCTCTTTCTTCATCCCCTATTGACTGATTTGGTTCCACTTGCTGTCTCTTATCAGTTCCTTTTTGCAGGGGCAGCTATTCTTTCATTTCAAGTTCCTCCTTACCTAAGAACTCACCTCCCACCCCCCATCCTGGACATCTATTAATCAAGCTCCTTTGACCCCTCCCTCCCTCCCCAGTTTGCATCCTTTGACCCTGATTCTTCAAGCAAGATGGTCAAGGGAGCAGGCAGGTTGACTCGGTGTGCAATTTTTAAAACTCAGCACTCCAAATTTAGACAACTAAAGAACCGTTTATAACAGAAACGTGATTACATTTTTATTATTTCATTCTTGACATCTGAGATATCAAGTAATTCTATTTATTATACTGAGAAGTCAGAAGCATATTTTTCAATAATTGATGACATCTGTGTAATGATGAGTATTTTGTTCCTGTTCCAAGAAACTTTGGTACGTATATTTAAAAGATGTAACATGCTAACTTACAAAGAATTTTATTCATTTACTCAAAATGTGCTGAATTTTAAGTGTCGGGCATTTTGTCAAGCCTACAGAGATAGAAGAGGTAGCCTGACTTCCAAGGGACCTGAGTCCGGGGAAGGAGGCAATAGATGATTACAAGATAAGCCCTGAGCTCCTAGGGCCTCAGAACCAAAGCTCCTAGCCGGGGCTGATGGAGCCTGGGCTTCCCAGTCGGGACAGGTCCAGGTAGCTGTGACTAAAACAAAGAAACCACAAGTGAGTGTAGACCCCGCAAGCCTGGGGTGTGGGGTGGTGAGTCAGGAGAGGCATGTTAAGGACACATCACCAGGGCCTCAGGGGCGTGCTCTGTAGCCTGAGAATAGAAGGACCATAGCAGGGGTTGGGGGGAGAGCATGAGGGGCTGAGTGCCAGGAGATGAGGTCAGAGAGGTGTGCCGCAGGTCCAAGCAAGAAGAGTTACGTGGTGCTATAAGAACAGCTAATGGGGGGACCTAACCGAGTCTGGGAGTCCAAGGGACATCCTTGAGGCAGTAACTTCTGAGCTGAGAGCTAAGGGATGAATGAGAGTTGAAAGGGGAGAGGGTTTCCAG